CTCTCTCTGCTGGGATGAGTAATATGGACCAGGGCAGAGGGTCTATATCAATCTAACCCAGCAGAAAAATGAATGAAAATTGAATTCCCCAAGGAGAATCGGGGAGCTGTTATCCAGACAAAGATAAATCAAAGGATGCCTCGGAGACTGGGAGAGCAGGTTTCCGAAGGCAGGAGAATAATTAAGGAAACAATTTCAAAATGTAAATGATAAAAGAGGGTTGAGGAGGAATGAGGACAAGGAGGAGATGATGGAGATAGTGTGATGGGGAGGAGCAGGGGCGGGTGAGTCCGCTCCCCAGTGGAGAAAAGGGCTGGGGCTCAGGATTGTTCCTGTCTGAGGGTGAAGCTCCTAAAATGTCAAGGTTAGAAGCCTCCCCAGTCAGCTGTGTGGAGCGGGAAGAGCACCAGATTGGGAGTCACGGGCTGGATTTAATCTCCAGGGGGCTTTGCAGCGTATGAGTGGTGTGACCTTAGACAAACCACTTAACCTTTCCGTTTCCTGATGCTCAGACCCAAGCCTAGGCCTGACCGTGAAGATCAAATGGGCTAAAATATGTGGGAGAACTCTGAAAAAAATGTGACGTGCTAGGCCAATGCAAGCTACAACCATTTTCCTAAATCCAGTTTCTGGAAATCCTTCCCTCGGGATTGGAACCACTGACACATTGGGTTTGGTTCCCAGAAATGTAATGTGTGAATGTCCAGAAGGTAATGGATACTCTTACCCAGCGGTGGGCAAACTGCGGCTCTTTGGCCCCTTGAGTGTGGCTCTTCCACAAAATACCACGTGCGGGCGCGCACGTACAGTGTGATGGAAACTTCGTGGCCCATGCGCAGAAGAAATTTCAATTGTTGTACTGTTGATATTTGGCTCTGCTGACTAATGAGTTTGCCAACCACTGCTCTTACTGATGACATAATTGACTGGCCGCCCTGACAGAACTGAGACCTGGGGAAGCCCTATCCCACAGGCACAGTCTGAGGGGAGCGCCGAGGACTGCTGTTCCTCGGAGGTCACCTGCCAGCCCTGGACATCTTTTCCTGAGAAAAGCCCCACTGAGTCAGCTCAGAGGTTTAGGCCCAGACAACAGGATGCAATATTGTGTGGTGTTAAGCACAGGAAACTGTTGGCAGTCATACACACCATCTGAGGGTCTATCTGTGGGATTCAGCTATTCCCCATTCTCTGGGGGATAGAGACTAGCTTAGCTAGCCTCAGTTTTTTCATCCACCAAGTAGGTATAATAAAACCATTTATTGAATTGTTGTGAGGAATAGAATTATGCAGGTAGAAGCACTTACCTTGGGGCCTAGCACAGTTTAAAATATATATTATTGATTTTTTTTTTTTTTTTTTTTTTACAGAGAGGAAGAGAGAGGGATAGAGAGTTAGAGACATCGATGAGAGAGAAACATCAATCAGCTGCCTCTTGCATACCTCCTACTGGGTATGTGCCCCCAACCAAGGTACATGCCCTTAACCAGAATCGAACCTGGGACCTTTCAGTTCACAGGTCGATGCTCTATCCACTGAGCAATTTTAAACTTTCAGTGTTGGCTGTTTTGATTACCAAGGTATACTATTGTATTAAGCCTCTGGAGAAGTCATATAATGTGGAAAGGGCATCTGCTGGCTGAGCTGCTGACCACACGTTCCAGGACCGAGGGCCCAGCGGGCCTCCTAAGGCTCTTCTGCCATCCAGGAGCAGTGACAATGGCCCCCCTGTATCAGGGCTGGGCACAGGAGCGCCCCCCTCAGCCCCCAGTGAAGCTGCCCCTCCCCCAGCGGCAGGCTAGTGGCCTGTGATGAGAGGAGGGGAGGACCTGGCAGGTTCATACTGGGGGGAGCAGGAGCAGCAGAGGACATGTGAAACACATGATTCTAAATTATGAAAGTAATCACCACACAGGCTCCACATTTCACTGCATATAAATATTTTATCTTTCAATAATAGTACTGAAAAAAATATAACCACTTTACAGGAAATCTGGGAAAGAGAAAAAAGAAAAAAAGCTCTAATATATTTTTTACCCTAACATAATTTTAAATAGCATTTGGATATCTTTCAGTTTTCCCCCAATGTTTTTGAAAACAGTATTTTATCAGGGTTTTTTTTTTCTGTTTTATAAAATAATGTGCTTTTTGAGGAAACTGGGGGAAAAAAACAAAAAGAAAGAAAAATATCCACTGAACAGATAATCACTTTTATATTTCAGCATATTTTTATCTATGCTTCTCTTTTTAAAATATCTTAACATTCATATTGCTTTATATTCTCTTTTTCCCCTCCTAATAAATCTCAAACACTTTTCTACATTAATAATATCCTTCTGATATATTTTCTAATGACTACATGGCATTCCATTTTATTTACTCAAATTTATTTCATAATCCCCTATGTTGGATATGTAGGTTATTCTCTTTTTAAATTGTTATGAACTTTCTTGCAATTCTATCCTTATAAATATTCTTGATTATTTTCTATGGATAATTTCCCATATGAATTGGGTCAAATTTTTAGGCTATAAAACATATCGCCAAAATGCCCTCAGAAGACACTGTCCTTTTTTTTAAATTCCCATCAGGAAATTGTTTTCTAATTTCTGAACACCCTCATCAACAGTGGGTATTATCACTGTCAACATTTTTCTAATACTTAAAATCATATAGTATTGCATCCTGATTTTTAAAAACTCGGTCTTCATTTCCATGTTGCTAGATTTCAGAATTAGTTTTAATAATTGTAGAACGCACTTCCAAACAAATTTAACATATTTCACTACACGTCTTTTATTTTGTGGGGACATTTAATAGGTTATTTTTCTCCAAATCATAATGCTGTAATAATATCTTCATGCAGGAAACTATTTTTTAAATATTATTGTGTGTACTAGAGGAATTATATGAGCTAAAGGGTATGAGAAAGTTTTATGGATTTGATACAAATTGCCAACTTGCTTTCCACACGGATTTAAGAGTTTATAACGCAGACCAGCTACATTTGTGAGAGTATCTGGTACCTTTCATTTAACAGGTGAAAGGAGATCTGTACTGTGCTGTTTTAATTTGCTTGTCTTTGTTGTTTACTAGTGATATTTTTGTAGGAAACACTGAAAATGCCACCCAATTCTTTGCTTTTTTCTTTTTTTCCTTGGGGACTGGAGTCACCTCGCAGGTAAACCGGGAAGAAATATGCCAACCCAGTGCCAATAGCCACAGAAGCCATTGTGACACTGAAGACAAATGCTAAGTGCATTAGGTCATGCCATCTGCCCCCACCCTCAAACTCGTCCCTCCCCAACCCTAGTGTCCCCAGTTTGGGGACAACACCAGGAAACAAACAAAAAACAACCACAACAAAAACAAACAACAACAAAAACAAAAATAAGGGACGTGCATGAAGGCTGGATAGGGTACCCAGTCCCTCTTCCCACGCGAGCTGGGCCTCACTGTGCCGGGCGGACACATCTGCCTGCAATCTCTGCAACGAAAACGCAGAGGGGGTGACGCGAGGGCCGGGATCCGGGAGCCGCACTGGTTTCCTGCGGCATCGGAGCTGCCTGCAGTCAGGCGGCGTCGGGTGTGTGATGAGCCTCAGAGAGCCTCCATGCATGCAGACCTGCGCCGGCAGTGGGCCTCTGTGCTCTCTCCTCCGGGAACCTGCGTTGAGAATGTAAGCGTGTATGTGCGTCTTGTAATTGCAATAAGCAGCACACGGCCCCTCGCTGCTGAGCCCAGGCGTCCTGCTTGCAGGCGCGAGGTCGGAATTGTTTCAAAGCGCCCGCGGTGGCAGCGGGCTAAGCGGTCTCCGGGGACCCAGGGCCTTACCGGGCCGAGTGGACAGGGCTGAGCGCCCAGGGAGGCCCTGTCGCCCAAAAACAAGGGGCACCGACGGGTGGGGAGAGAAGGGAGAGCGGACTGCAGGCCGCGGCAGGAGGAGGCGCGCCCTCCGCGCACGGTCCCCAGCCCCTTCCCCTGCGTGACGCGCGCTCCGGGCCCGGAGGACCGGCTGTCCTGGCCCAGCCTCATCCAGCCGCGGGGGAGAGAGAGAGCCAAGCCTGGGGAGCGCCGGAGGGAAAGGAACCGGCCGGGAGAGAAAGAGGAAGAGGATGGTGGAGCCGGCTGATGACGGAGCGCGCTCAGTCCCAGGCGGAGAGAGAGAAGCCTGGGACGGAGAGCGCACGAGGGGGGAAGGCGTCGCGGTGCAGCCCGGACCCCCGGAGGGTCTGCCCCGCCCCTCCTCGCCCCTGGGTCCGAATGGAGGGGCTGGGGGAACCCCCGGAGGACCCGCAGAAACCTGCCAGCCCTGAGCGCCGCCGCCCGGACCACCTGCTGCCGCTGTCCGCAACGCCGCAGAATTTATACCCGGGAGCCAGGGGCCGGGGTGGGGTGGGGGTGGGGGGACTGCCCGAGAGGCCCCTCCCCACGCCATGCGGCCCCGCCCTCCCGCACCGTTGGCCCCATTCGGGGAGTCAGGACCCCCCCCCCCCAACTCTGACCGGTGTCCGCCGCTCCCTGCCGGGCCGGGGAGACCGGCTGGAGGGCGGGCCTCCCTGCGGAAAGCGACGTCATGGCCGCGCCTGCAGAGTGAATGAATCAAACGCCGGTGACCGCGGCCTCCCCGGCGGCGTCCGGCACGCGAAGGGTGGAGGGAGGGGGAGGGGGCGAGGGGCGGGCGGGGAGGGAGGGAGGAGGGGAGAAAAGCCAGGGCTGCAGCAACAGCGTCTCCACCGGGATGTGCACCAGCCCGGGAGAGCGAGATCAAAGGGATCTGAAACGGACGGAGGACCGGCGGGGGGGGAGAGGGGCGGCCAGCCTGTGGAATCCTCCCGGAGAGGGGGAGGGTCCTGCTTCCGCCTTGACTCCTCCGGCGGCGGCGGCGGCCTGGCTGGGCTTTTTATGATTATTTTCAAATTCCTGAATCCAGCTCGAGAGCGAGCGGGCGAGCGAGAGATCTCCGTAGACTGCTGCGCCTCGCTGGCTCTCGCTCCTCCGAGATGATGCAGAGCGCGGCCGTGCCCGCGGAGGGGGCTGCCAAGGGGCTCCCGGAGATGCTTGGTGTGCCGATGCCACGTAAGACACCCCCCTTTCTCGCTGGTTTAATTTAATAACAAGGCAGCCAGCTGCCCCGGCTGGTGCGGGGCGGGCCGGACGCTGCGCGCAGCCTGGACAGACCGAGGGGGCCGGGCGGGGCGCGGGGCAGCCCGGGGCGCAGAGGCGGTCACGGGGCAGGGGCGAAGGGCCCGGCTCTTGGCTTTGGGGGCGGAGAGGAAAAGCCTTCCAGATCCGAGAGTACCGAAGCCGGCATCCCCAGCCCGTGGCTTTTCTAGGACCATCGGGGAGAGGGCCGATTGGGGACACCAGGGAAACCAGCTTGCAGGGCAGGCCTGAGCGCTGGGTGGTCTCCCCAAATCCTCCTCGCCCCCATCCCGCCGGGGGCCACTGTCAGAGATCCCAGTTGTAGGTACAGCGACTTCACCCTCGCTGGCGGGACGTTGGAGAGCGCCTCCCTCGCCCCCCACCTCCCCGCCCCGGGGGCTGGCGGCGCCGGAGCCCAGGTCGCACGTTCCGTCCCCGCGCGCAGGGCACGCGCGCCCGGTGCGTCCCCGCCGCTGCCGCTGCCGCTGGTGCCGCTGGTGCCGCCGGTGCCGCCTGCGCCGCCCAGGCCGCCTGCGCCTAGAGGGGGAGTCCGCTCGCCATGTTCCATGTAGCAAGGAGGGAGAAGCACCGCGACGAAGTTGGGAACTCAGGGAGCAGCTTGTGTGCAGGCGAGGGCAGGCTCTCGGGAGGTTTTGGGCTCGGGAATGGGAGGTCTAGGGCTCGGGAACGGGAGTTCGGGGTGGATAGCGCTTGGCTCGCCCTCCGCCTGCTTTCCCGCGCCTGACATCAGCCTGGCAGCGGGAGCTGGGGCTCCGGGCGTGCTTACCTCCTGTATGTCTGTGTGTGCATAGGTGTGCGCGCAGGGACTTTCCCGCAGGGAGGCATCCTCTATCCCCCACTCCGGGACCGAGAATCTGCTGTAGGGAATCTATGTGGGACCCGGAGCCGGTCCTGAAGCGTTGAGCTCGTAGCAGGGGGGGGGGGTATGGGGGGTGTGTGCAGCGCGAGTCCAGCTCCGCAGGCTGGAGGGTTTTGGGGGTCGCCCCTGAGCACGACGGAGAGGCGAGAGGTTCTTTCCTTCCGCTTGCCCATGGGCTGTGCTTCGGCTCCCGACTTCTTTAGCCCAGGTTTCTTTTAAGTTAAGGGCCGGTTCATCCTAGGACGCTGCCCACCTAGGCACTGGGGCGCACCAGCGCGCCCTCCTGCGCCCCGGTCACCATGGCAGGCAGGGCTCCAGTCCTGGCCAAACCGCAAAAAGCAGGCTGACTAGCTACGTGTGTCCCGAAGTTTCTGAGAAAGGACCAGAAGAGCATAGTGTCACCCAAACCTGCTCAGGTTGCTTCTTCCCTAAAAGCCCACAGCTATCCTGTGTGCCTCATCTTGTCAGGTGCTGACAGTTTCACGTCTGCGCGGTGCCTTGCGGGGTTTACTGACTAAGGTGTGACTGTAGAAGGTTTTGGGGATTCACTGCCCCCCTTACTGTTCCCTCCCCACCACAGGCAGGAAAGTAGCGGGTCCTCAGCCCCTGCACAAAACACAAACTCTGGCAAAAGTGCTGCAAGTCCCTAAGCAGATGGCAAGTTCTTGAGCTCTGCGCCAGCCAGGAGAGTGTGTGTGCCACTGTCCCTGTTCCCCAGCTCTCTGCTTGCTCACAGTGGGACCCATAGGGGGCCTGTCCGTTAGGACTGGAGCACAGGATGGGTAGGCGAGGCCCTGACAGCCTTTCTCAGATGGTCTCACTTTTTGTTTCTCTTATCCAGAGAGACAGCTGTGATTTCCACGTCAGGAGCTTCGTTTCCTGAAATGCCTAGCACTTGCCTCCAAAGCAGCAGTTGGCCAGGGCTCCTGGTCTGGGCTGGAACTGTGGGAGACCGTGGGGTAGAAAAGGGGACTCCTCCAGGGCGGCCCAGGGAGGCAGTGCCCAGCCAGGAGAGGTGGTCTCTCTCTCCTTTTGTCTTGCCCGGGGCCTGTGGCTGTGGCCTGGGCTGGCCTGGGAGACTTTGGGATGCAGCTTTTGCTTTTGCTTTTAGGATCTGTGTGGCTTCTGCCCAACCCCATTGCAGCAAACCTGGCCACCGCCTGTGAGCTAAGCTGTTGGTGCTGGGAGCTGGGCATAGGTGGGCAGGGTCCCCTCACATACTACACAGTTCTCTTCTCTGACACAGGGGGCCTGTTACCTAAGAACTTCATTTGGGGGCGAGGTTCTTGGGCCTCAGGGAGGGAGGGTAATCCCAGCCTGTGGGGGTTTAGACCTGGGTCTGGGGAGAGGAGAGGCTCTCAACTAGGGTCCCTCCATCCTGCCCACTGTGAGGTTTGGGTTGCCCCCCCCCAAACACACACACACACACACACACACACACACACACACACACACATCCTGCTCCTTCACCCTGAGGCACACACTTGAAGCACTTGAGGGCACAGGCTTAGGGATCCCCAACCTTGGTGCCTCTGGTGCGCTGGGCTCCAGAATATTCTCCTGCTTCTTTGGGGATGGCTGAGGTGCATGCACTCTCCCTTGCCAAGTAATGTACTAATTTCTCCTCTCCGCACGGTCCTCTTCCTTACACTGTGTCCCGGCCTCACACCGCTGCTGGCTCTGGAGGATCTGGTAGATGAGGTGGCTAGGCGCTGGGGCCTGAAGCCCCCACAGCCCTGGGTCTCCGGACCAGGCTCCCGGGGTCTGGGACTTTACCAGACAGACTGTGTGTGTGTGTGGGGTGGGGGGAAAGGGATCCATGGGTTTGAGGGGGTGGGTGGCCTCTGGGACAAGAAGCTCAGGAAGAATCAGCGGAGGCCGCTGGGAATCATCCAGGAGCAGCCTGGGGTGGAGAGCAGAGCCCAGTCCCCTAAATCCCAGCCCCATCCTGCCTCCCATTAGCGTTTCCTAAGAAACTCAAAACTCAGAACTCCACTCCTGGCTCTGGGCGGCTGGGGCTCTGTGTTCGGGAGACCCCACCATCGGGTCATGTCCAGTCCGAGCCCAAGGCCCTTTGGCTCTTTTGAAAGGGTTCGGTGTTTTTTCCTTCTCGAGCCCTTGGACTCCGATGTAGGGTTGAAGGTCCCTGCTGGTCTAGGCACATCCTGTCTCTGCCTAGCGGTCCCTTCCGCCTCCCTGAAGGGTAGGAGCAATCGGAGTCCTAACCCTTGAGGCTGCCTCTCACCTCTCACCTTCGGAATAAAACAGTCCCACCCCCACCCCCGGGCACCTGCGTCCTGCCGCCCCTCTCGCTGGTCCAGAGGGCTCTGGACAGGCGGGTGTCTGGCCCATGTTGTCTGGGCACCTGCTGCCCGCGTTCCGGGGCGGGAGCGGGGCCGCCGGGGGAAGGAGCGCCGCTGAGTCCGGGCCCGGGTGGGAAATGGGGAGCAGGCCCGGCGTCTCTCCTCCTTCCTCCTCTCCTAACATACCTACTTCTGCAGCTCTTAGGACCCCCGAAGCTGGAGGATCTGGGTGAAGGACTCCTCTGGGCGCCCCGCTCCCCCGCCCTCCCCCCCAGCACCCCCAGGCCCTTTGGGAAGGGCTGGGGCGGCCTCGGGCCCCGCTGGGCGCGCTCTCCCACTCCGACGCGCTCTTTCCCATCCCGACTACGGCGTGTCTGTGGAAGGTTTGGGGGGATTAAGGTGTGTCTGTGGGAGGTTTTGGGGTTCTCGCGGTGCGGGGAAGGAGGGGAGACACAAACATCAGTAAATGTTCTCCAGGCTCCGGTTCAGGTGTTCCAGCAGCTGCCTCCCGCGCCGCAAACACGTCCAGGTGCGAGCCCACGGGCGCCGCCGCCAGCAGGTTCGGGCCTCACGGGTTCGGGTTCGGGTTCTCTCACCCCGGGCCAGGGCTGCGCGCCCCCCGCGGGACCTGGAGAACCGAGGTGAGCGCGGCTGCGGGCGGAGGAGGGCGAGAGGGCCCCGGCCGCTGCCTCGGTCGGAAAGGGCGCCGGGCGCGGGGAGCCTCCGGAGGCCGGGCCAGCGCTCCCGAAGCGGCCTCACCTGGGCCGGCCCGCAGGTGCGGCGGGTGCGCGGTGAGGGCCGGGGGCGGCGGCGGGGCGGAGGGAAGCCCAGGTGCCCCTCGCTCCGCGCAGGCTCGCGGGACACAGAGCCCGGCGCCCGGGGCGGAGCGGCGTCCTCGGGTCGGAGAGCCTGACCCGAGGGGCCCAGCCGCGCCCGGGCCGGACGCCCCGCCCGAGGGCAGAGCCGCCGGGAGCCGCCCGGACGCCGGTCCCTCCGGCATTCGCCGTCCCGCCGCGCCCGGAGCGCTGGAAGGACGCCCGCCGCCGGGAGAGGTGGGTGCAGACGGGGTGCCCTTGGGGAAGCGCCGGTTTTGGGGGCTCCGGGTCCCGCACCCCGAGGAGAGAAGGGGTCGGAGGTCGCGGCTGCGAATGGGACAGAGGCTGCGCCCCCCGCGCCGGACCCAACCTCCCCGGCCGCCTCGCCAGTCCTTTCCTCCTCCTCCCGGGCGCCCCGGCGGCGTGGGGCGGGCTTTGCGGCAGGAACTGGGGAGGAAGCGGGGCGCAGGCTGCGCTCCAGCGAGGGGAGCCCGGCGGAGCCCCCGCTTCCCCCCACTTCACCCCGGGCCTCGGGGAGCTCGGACCCAAACGCCCGCGCCGGCGGCAGGAGGCTTCTCTTTACCCACGAGGTCACTTTTAACCCCAGGAAGCGGTTCCCTCGGCGGGGAGCGGCTCCTCCCGCCCGGAGCCCCGAGGTGCCGGCGGGGACGGGCTGCGTGCGCCTGGGGGGCTCCCCGCGCTGCTCCCCGCGCTCGGCGGACCTCGAGGGGCGCGGGCGGCCCCGGAGGGAGCAGGTCTCGGCCCGGGCGGCCCGCGGTGTGAGTTGGAGGCGCCCGGAGAGGAGCTGGTGGCGGGGCCGGGAAGGCGAACGGCGCGGCCGCAGGTGGCCCCGAGGGCCCGGGAGGGAGCCGGGCCGCGGCTGACCTGGGGCTCGCGCCAGCTCCCCTGGGCTCCGAGGTCGGCTTTACCCAGATG